GGAGAGACGATGCCTTGACTGGGTAGATGCCGGCCTTGCAAGAAAAGGCTGTGAAGGGTGACGACGGCAAGGAGTGCCGTGCCAGGACCGGCGACATGCTACTGGAAACGGCCCCGCAGATTCGGAGGATAAGCGGCGCGCCACGGAGCCGACCCGCCGTGGTGGAGCCGACCCACCGTGGTTTGGGGCCGGGCCCTCGGGTCAACAGCCCCCACCGAGCGTCTACCGAGCGTCTGCCGAGCGTTTACTGAGCGTCGAATGCCGAGGCTATGCGCGCTAGATTGACGTAATCAGCTACCGACCGACTGATACCTGACTTGGCCTTCAATCCCCGGTTGCACTGCCGCCATCGGCCTCCGACTCTCTCACACTCATCGCTATGGATCAATTTGCTTCCAGAATGCGGTCCTCGACGCTCATTTCTCATCAGATTCGCTCCAGGTGCACCACAAGCGCCTCACCGCGTCTGCCCTCTCGCGCCCTCCTGCATACGCCGGGCAGGCTCGTCTCAGAAACCCCCACGTCCGCCGCCGCCGCCGCCCCGTTGAACTCGAGATGGCTGTCGGATCTGCAGGCACGGATTCGACGGATTGCCTCGGTTGAGTCTCGCTCAGGGAAGCACGAGGAGGCGAGACAGCTGCTGCGGCTCACGGAGACGCAGTGGCTCGGTTTTCTCGCGGGGCGCGATGGCTTCCTGACGGGTGAGGGGTGGAGGGGTCTTGACCGGCATCAGGTGAATTGGGGTGATATGGTGAGTTAAAGCACGACGGACGGCATAGGTTTGGGTGGTTTCTGGCGACTGACTAGGTGGTCTTGCTTCGTGTTGTGTAGGATTCAATGGTCAGTGGCTCTCCCTGATGAGAATGACAGCCGCTGACGTTCACAGGGTAAGGCTGCATTCCCCCCTAGCGGCAGGCCTCCCATCAATCATCGCTGACATCGCCGCCTAGGCCACGTCAATAATGTCATGTACAACAAGTTTGCCGAATCGGCACGCGTCAACTGGATCCTGTCCCACGGCAAGAGAGACGGCCCCGAAGCGGCCAAGGAATGGGCCGAGATCATGTCGCCGCGCGGCGTGGGACTCATTCTCAAGAGCATCAAGACGGACTTCAAATTCGTATGCCCGAAACCCCACCTCCCCATGCGCCCTGACTGAATGCTGCATGGCGCCGTGCTGACCCGGCCGTACAGCCCATGGCGTACCCCGACCAAGTCACCGCGGTCTACAAGCTCGCCGAGAAGCCGACCTATGCGTCCGACCACCTCAAACTCGACGGCCTGCTCCTTTCCGAGCAGCACCGCCGGGTCGCGGCGCGGTGCATCGAAGAGGTCACCATCTACGACTACAGGGCTGCCAAGAAGGCCGTGCTGCCGCCGCACATGGTGGACCGCCTTGCTGAGACGTTTGAGCTGCAGGAGGAGGCGAGGAGAGAGTTTGACGAGAGGGCGAACGGCGTGATCAAGGCCATAGAGGAGATTGAGGCGAAAGAATAGATTGTGGACGCTTGCTCTGGTTCGGCAAGTGGTCGGGGGGAGATCGTTAGACTGCATGTGCTTGGAAAATGCAAGCCCAAGTTGACGTGATGCTTTTCAGGCGCCGATAGTCGAGAACAATCACCTATCGTGTCGAGAGGCGCTTGGGGTATCGAGATGACAGTGAAAGGGCAAATGCAGATTGAAGGCATCATGTACCTTGAGTAATACAAGCCATATGACATGCACCTCGGACTAGGTAATCAATCAGATGATGTGCTGCGGACAATCCATGCAAGTGCTTCAAGGACTTGAGAGAAGCTCGCCTGTTGGTCGAAAAATTATTCCAGGAGTTAATGGCTGCATATGAGCGGGTGACAGTTGTCTCAAGGGTGGTTTGCTTGCATGAAGCATCACCTTACTTTTGCACTTTGATTCGGTCCCGATGAGTTGGTTCCCATGAGGCCGAATGCCCATACATGACCACCAGGATGTTGCGGTAAGAATGGGCGGATTCTTCACCACTTCTCTGACTCCTCACCGATCAGAAGGTATGTATGGCCTTCAAGGACTTGACCTGAGGTTGCCTGATGAGATACCTGATGGTCTTCGCAGTAACATGTGCTGGTGTCGCCCAATGCAATCATGGGCAGGCATCTCAACCCCCCTTTATTCAGGATACGATGGTGAAAGCGGGAATTCATTATTCGATTTTCTTCAGCACTTCATTACTCCGAGACCCCCACATCATGTTCAGACACCCAGAATGACGTCTGCCGCCTTCTCACTGATCATGTACACCGGCACTGCGATGTAGAAACCCGGAATTTCAGGAAACACCGAAGCATCGACGACCCTCAACCCATCGACACCTCGGACCCGGAACTTGGAATCCAGCACAGCATTGGGATCGCTGTCCTTGCCAATGGGACACGTGCAGCTGGCATGGTGACCCCAGGCCTCGTTCGTCACCCAGTCCTCCAGATCGTCATCCGACACTCCAGGGCCAGGCCACACCTCGGTAAAGCCGCCGGCGAGGGGGATGACGTCCCTGAACATCCTCCTCGACAGCTTCATGCCCTCGACGACGGCCTTCCTGTCCTCCGCGCCGCCCTGGGCAAAGTAGTTGAAGTCGATGAGCGGCATGTCGCGGGGGTCCGAGGACCGGAGACGGACGGTGCCGGCGCGGTTCCTCGAGTGAGCCTTGAGCGTGATCCAGCTCCAGTGCTTGCGGTCCGCCGTTCCATCAGCCGAGTAGCCCGGGTAGTAGCCCGGGAAGGCAACGGGCGCGCCGGCAATGAAGAGATCAGGATCGCCTGTTGCGACGGAGGACTTCTTGACGACGCCGAGGGAGATGCCGTTGGAGCCGTAGATGCCGCGGTCGCCTCCGGCCTGCCACTTTTTCAGGCACGGATCGCCGGAGCGGCCGAAAGTGCAGCCCTCGATGATCTGAAAGTCAGTCTCAGTCTCGCCGATAACGGTCGTCTCGTATCGATCCTGGAGGTTGGTGCCGACGCCGGGAAGGTCAGCGACGACGTTGATACCGAAGGATTCGAGCTCCTTCTTCGGGCCGACGCCGCTGAGCTTCAGCAGTTGCGGCGTGTTGAAGGCGCCCGCCGACAGGATGACCTCGGCCGTGGCGTTGACAGAGCCAGCGGTCGAGGCGGCAGCCTGCTGCGCTCGGGGGTCGGCCTTGTAAAGGCTCTTGCCGGAGAGGAAGTCGACGCCGACGGCGCGAGGCTTGGCGCCCGTCCTGTCGAAGCGGACTTTGGTGACGAGCGTGTTCATCTTGATGTCCAGATGGTACTTGCGGGAACCGTCCGCGTTCTTTGCGTTGGCCGTGTCGAGAACAAATTCCCGAGGCCCGACGCGAACGCCGTCCTTGACGGTAATGGGCACCTGGTACAGGCCCTCGGCGGCATCTCGCGACGGCGTGTCAACATTGATGTCGCGTAGCAGCACCTGACCCAAGCCGGCTACGGTCGACAGAATCAGACCCAGGAAGCTCTGGCCCATGGACGAAGCGGCAGAGACAATGACGGTGAGGAGCTTGAGGTCCTTGACGACAAGGCCGAGATCAGTGACGCTTGTTGTCAGCCAGCCGCTGAACCCGTGACCGGCGACACCATTGGGGAGGTACCGAGCGCTCTCAAGACGCTTGAAATAGTTGCGCATGGCCGACGCGCGCCAGGAGGTATCGCCCGTCAGCGTGGCTATCCGGTCCCAATCGCTCGCATGAGGATACACTGTGATCAGGGCATTGTGCGCGGCGCAGCCACCCAGAGTGCCGGCTCGAGGATACAAGACGCCGAGAGGCGTGGCACCAGAAGGTGGGCTCAGTCCAGAGTACAGCTCTCCCGACGCTGTCCGATATGTCATTTTCGAGTCCTTCTTCTGGGCATCGAGGCTGCTGTAGTGGTTGACGAAATAATCCCACTGCATGGGCGTATACTCTGTCGACTGTAGGTTCAGGGCGGGGACCTGGTACGGGATCGACGCTCCCTGGTCGTCGCCGGCTTCGATGAGGAGGACTTTCTTGCCGGCAATGGCGAGCCGAGCAGCCAGCGGGCCTCCGCCGGGACCAGAACCCACAATGACATAGTCGTAGGAAGCGAGGATGGTCCCGGTCTGTCGTGTGTCGAGTTGGCTTGGTCTGCGAGAATCGACGAGTTAGACTCTGCACTCCGTGACGTTGAAGACAGCATCTGCCGTTCAGAGACAGTTGCCAGCACTTACACTGCCGAGACGGAAGCCGCCAGCAAGGACAACAGCAGAGTTGACACCTTCATCTTGTCGCGCTGTCAGATGCGTGTTTCGACCGGTTTGAGCTGGCGCGAGACGGATCGAGCTGGGAGCAACCGGCCGAGCGAGAAGGTGGCCAACGGCAACCTCGTTGAAAGATATACATATTGTTGCCGGGGTCGCCAGCACTCTGCAAAGGCGCTCTGCGTGTCATTGTCCGCCGTACAGTCACTCCCAAACAAGATGCTATTTCCGCGCAGCAGTCCACTGGGCTTCTGCAACTGATCACGATCGAAGGCTGAGACGGGAAGGAGGGCTAGAACTCGAAGCATCTTTGCTGAAGGGCCCCACAAGCATTGAACACGCGGTCCGGGGATACGGGGATAGGTTACTTAAACGGTTCGTCCTGTGATAATAGATGCGTGTCAACTGAGTTCTGCAGTCCGCTTGTACAGCATACCCCTGTCTCTGATCAGGTCCTTGCAGGGGGTGGGGATTCGATCAAGACGACACAGATCATGCCAGGCCGAAGACTTGACTCGATCGAACCAGTGAGGAGAAACCGGCAAGGCGGCATTGCCGCTGCCTGACCTGGAAGGTTTCGCCGAACGGCAGCTCTGATGCATCTTGGCGATGACTTTGGGACCCAGAACATCTTCATTCGCGAATCTGGTTCAGGGAGGACACGGCATGCTGGAACTTGATGAGCCATTCGATCCAATTGTGTGATGCCTTTATTTTGCGAAGTTAGCCAGGGTCAATGCAACCACAACGGCGAGCATGCCCTCCCTCATCAGATCAAGAATGACGCTATTCGGGTCAAGTCCAGGGAACGAACGTACGGGCGAGTCAGAATAATGGCTGCGCCGAGGTGGCAATGTAACTGGATATTCAGTTCCTGACTTGCAGCCGATGGAGACAACCAAATAAGGAGAGGTGGAAGGCGTCCCATGTGGCGTTGAGGATACGAGATTCATATATCGAAAGTCACAGTTCGACCGGCATTACTTAGCTGCAGGCCCTGGACTGGACTCAGGCTCGGCCCAGACCCCTGGTGGCAGCCCCTGAACAGAGCATCGCGCCCTTGAGCGGCCTGGTAATGCCCAGGCTTTTAGGCTTATTGCTGGTAAGCATACTGACTCGCGTGACCACATCGTGCAGCCTCCCATGTGGCCCTCCGCAACAAGCGGGCCAGATAGCCCACTCGCACGAAACCAAGCTGCACCGGGGATAGTCAGGAACAGGTGTGGCTTGGGCGCCATCGCCGTTGGAACATGCTATGTGCTGGATAGGACCACACATTCTCTCGGCCGGCATGCCTTACTCTGGTATGGTCTTCTGAAGAAACGACATGTTACCATGTGTCTCAAGGCGACCTCGGGTTCCGCCCCCTTCCCTTGCAGGTCCCACATGTAAGGCGCAGGCCAGAGCTCGGGTGAGGTTTTTGATCGCAGTAACCCCCCAGAGACCCGGAGAATAATAAAGATTGCAGTGATTCTGCATGGACCCGGACCCTTGGGAAATGGGAATCTCCCCCCTCTAAACTCCCATGCTTCTTTGATGTTGCGTGGCATCCTCGTATCCTCATTTCGCATCTTCCTGCTTCTTTGTTTGCCAGGCGGACTGAGGCATTGCAAGGGACTCGTGGCTTCGTCTGAGCGGCCTGGTACTCGAGTCATCGTATGCATATGGTATTTCATTCATGAAAGGTCTTCGCTGTACTTTGGCTGTGCTGCTCTGGGCCGTCGTCTTCGCGGTGCCCGGGGCCACGCAGAGCTTGACGGACGTATTATCGTCAACACCGCCGTGCGCCGTGAGTTATCTCCTCTCCTCCCTTGCCCAGACCGCATCCCCAGACACATGATTATAACGTTATGTGAGCTCTGCAGGGCTGAGCAAGCTGGGTGTACTTTTCCTTACTGATGTCTTTGCTGGGTGTCGCGTAGTTATCGTGTCTTCTCGACGGACTGCAGTCTGGAAACTGCGACATCACGGACGTACCGAGCCTGCCAAGCTGCGCGTGCACGAACACGACTCTCCAGGCGGCAATCTCGGCCTGTGTGCAGAAGTCATGCGCCCTGCTCGAACAAGCGCGTATGGCATCCTCCCCCCCAGTGTGACCCCGGCTCGATGATATACAGTCTCAAGAACAACATCGACTGACCGGTTCCTTTGCGCGATACAGAGGCCGCGACTGTGACCAGCGCTTTCTGCGCTGATTTCCCTAAAGAGTCGAGGAGGGGCGAGGTCAGAGCCACGGCTATTGCCTGTCTGGCACTGACTCTGGTTATCGTGCTTCTGCGATGTGTTTCGAGGTTCACCGTCTCGAGTCGACTCTGGTGGGATGACTGGACGACTCTGGCCGCTACTGTTGGTCTTCCATCTCGACAACGGACCCGGGGGACACGTAGCTGACTGCAATAGGTCTTCCTAGGCGGCACAACAGGCATAAATATAGCAGGTAATGGCCCATCGTCTTCTTCTTTCCCTGATGGTATTCTGGGATAACGGTGGGCTGACTCTCACCAGTGGCCGACTTTGGCTTCGGTCTTCATTATTGGGACGTCGACCCGACGAAAGGCGCAACAATTCTACAGGTACGAGCACATGGATGACCTTGAACCACGCCAAGTTGCTGATACACCACGGAAAGATGTTCTGGACGGCGCAAATGTTCTACATCCTCGTCCAGGTTACAGCCAAAGCCTCGATCCTCATCCTCTTCTGGCGCATCTTCACGGCACGCTGGTTCCGCATCACCGTCTGGGGCGGTGGCATCTTCCTCGTCACACACGGTCTGCTGTTCCTGCTCCTCATCGTGTTCCAGTGTCTTCCCGTGCGAGCCATCTGGGATAAGTCCCTGGATGCCAAATGTCTCAACATCACGGCCGTCGGGTTGGCCGGCGCCGCTTTCAGCATCTTTGAGGACATTGCCATCCTGCTCATGCCCATACCAGAGGTGCGTAAGCTGCAGCTCACGTTGAAGAAGAGGGTTGCCGTCTGCCTCATGTTTGGCATCGGTTCCTTGTAAGTGATCACCCGAGGATTTTGCCATGTCGACGTCCTCCATAGAAGAGCCATGATGCTGATATATGAACCCCGAATACACAGTGCCTGTGTTACGAGTATGGTCCGCCTCAAGTACATGGTCTCCTTCGCCAACTCATCGGATCCCACATGTAAGTTGCCCTCAACCGTTGCGAAAGCGTAACCCGACAGAATATGGACACTGACGCCGGCCCCCTCCTTCCGCCAGGGGAGAACGTGGACATTGTCATATGGTCCATAATCGAGGTAACGTGCGCCATCATATGCGGCAGCCTGCCGACTCTGCGACCCCTGCTGCAGAAGGTGCCCGGCCTGCTCAGCTCGGGCCGCACATCGAGTTCCCTTTACGGCGGTGGTGCCTTCAGCAACACCGCGGCCACAAACGAAAGGGGCTCCCAGCGCCGCTCCGCCCACCCCGTGCCCGGGGACTTCAACAAGCTGCCGGATGACCACTGGGGTCCGCCGGGCCGTTCTACGGCAGCGGCGGACTACGCGCCCAAAAGGGCGGCGCATGTTGGAGTATCACGGGACTCGGTAAGCTTGGATGAGTTTGAGATGGCAGTCATAGCCAGAGAAAAGTCTGGTGTTTAGGAGACCAAGTAGCAATAATTTGATTTGTCTTTTCTTCAACTTCTTCAGTGCTGTAATGATATTTCAGACGACTACGAATTTCTGAGTCCTGGCGAAAGGTCATGTGATGACGATCTTGACGTATGGCCTGTCAATAATTTAAGGTAGTGCGATATCGCATGTTTCCCTCACCTTCCTACGAACGGAAATTGACTTCCACGTGGGCAGCCGTGCGTCAGGACAGTCAAGCCGGACCCATATTCGCCTTCTCGTCTGCCGCGACTCTAAGGCTTGATAGATGTCTGCATCCGAACAGGGGCTACTCCACGATGCTCTCCTGTCTCGTCAACCGTACCTCCGCCCCCGACTCTCGCCACAGACAAGGGAACTGGCGATAGCATCCAAAACCACGAACGACCCAGGATCCAGGACACAGGCTCGATGCTCACGGTTGGGAATTCAATCTTCAAGCCACAAGCGAGCTGTCAGTCTGAGAAACCGATTGTCGACCAAACACGCCAAGCCCTCACTGCCAACACTTAAACACAAGACACTGCCCCGAAACCTCCTTGTCTCATCCCTCTCATCCCGCTGATCACCATGGGGGATCATCAAGACTCACACACACGCATATACTTTGCTACAAGTGCATACAGCTACTACCACAGGCACGACACGCCACGCTCCCCCAGAAACTTCTGCCCAACGCCAGCACGCCCTCATCGCTCGTGCGTCCTCATCCGCCCACCACAAGCCATGTGTACCATCGATATTCCCCCACCGCCCTTTCTCTCGTGTACCTCGCACAAAGAAAAAGCAGAAGACAGTCGGTCAGTCCCATCCTACCCACACTCGCTCTCTCCTCGGCCCGGCTCGTGAAACGTGCATCGCCAGCTCAGCCACAAGGAAAAGGGTCTCACTTCCTGTCTTGCCTCTCTTGCCCCTTCCCCGCCTCCACATCCCGGCTTCTCTACAGTAGAACAGTCCCAGCTCCCGTGCAGGCGGTGACCATCGGTGGAAGAACGCGAGGCCCAAAGAGGGAAGACCCTCGTGGCATGACGGCGCTGCCATGTCCAGAATAGGCAACTGACTGCTCCTTGTGTTCTGAACTGCGCAAGCGAAGATGATGTGTGAGGCGGTACGTCAGGTCGCGAAGTAAGCGTACCACCGAAAAGACGGTGTGAAGCTGAAGTGTCTTGCCTTGTAAGCTACAGCACGACGTGCTGTGCAGGTCGCCGGCTTACAGCTCGCGGCTGAAGGAGTATCATCAAGACAACTGTACGTGGACATGTGCATCTTCGCCTGACCTGGATATGCAAACGCTGTATTGTGTCTTGCTACCCAACCTCGCCCATGTTTGATCGAGCTGATTCAAGCACCATCGTCGCGATCGTCTCGACTGCGCCCTGTCGTGTATGTACGCCTTTAGCCTGCTTACAGGCACCCTCTAAATCCCGCCTGGCATCGCATCTACGACGCCACGCCCTTAGCGACTCGGAGCTGACAACTCCCGATGTCCAAGAATCAATGATGTTCCCCCTATATCCGCTGCGGTGGCGTTTTCTTCAGCCAGCTATAGGCTGCGCCGAGGGCAAGAGAAATACATGAAGAAGAAATATTACGACAGTGGCCGGCGCAGGTCCTCATGTTGGGTATGAGGGAAGCGGACGACCGAGCTGCATGCTGGATTGCCATGGGTCATTTCCACAACTCGCGGCGTTCGAATTCCACCACTTGCCTTTTGGCGTGTTGCTTACACCCTGCATGGCTAATGTTGATGCGATTCTGCTGCTGGCGTTTCTTGTCTTCTCCTCACAAGGAAAAGTGAACGCCGTCCTGGTATCTCGAAATGTAATGCAAAGACCGAACCTTTGTACCGGGACCATATTCGTGTACGTCATTAGCGATGACCTCGTCATCTCATCCTGTTGATTTTCGCTCAATCATCTGGATCCGGATTCGTCGCACGGAGCACCGGCTTGGCTACTCTGCGCGAGTAATCCTGGTCATCATGGATCGTGTTGACGCTCTCATGACTCTTGTTACGTGCGTAAATGGGTCGTTGAAGCGGGTTCATACGCGGATCCATCGCCATGAGCCTGCTGCGGCGCTGCTCGCTGGTTGTTTCGGGTTCCCATGCTCGGCCGTCCATGGTCACAGTCATTTCGGGATTCCGAGGAGTGCCCATCATGCCCGCGGAGCTGCCACGCTGGCTTGGCTCGTCGTCTTCTGCCTGAGCACGCTGCTTGCGTCGGCGAAAGAAGAGCCACAGAACGAGGGCGGCGATGGCGACAACGCCGGCAATAACGCCGACAACAATACCGACCACGGTACCTGTGCTGGGGCCAGACGATCCCGATGATGATCCCATTTCGGCAGAGTTGTGCGTAGTTTCCGTATTCGACCCGGAAGTGTCAGGAGATGTACTCGGAGTGACAAAGACGGTCCGAACAGTACCGTCTGCGGTCACTGTTTGGGCGGCGGAGGGCGTAGGGGTCCGCGTCTGTGTACGGTTAGCGACTAGGTTCTTGTCCTCAAGGTTCCGGTTTCATGTCTGATATCCGAGGATGGAGCGGGCGTGCTGGGGGCAACATGGTCATACAGAAAATGAAGGCTCGTCAGATAATGTTGTCGATGAAGAAGAAGAGGATGTTGTCGATGTCGATGTCTGGGCGGTCTCAGTCTTTGGCTCTGTTGATGTTGATGGAGGAGGCGGGGCCTGGGATTCCTCCGTTTTAATCATCTTGCACTTCGGAAGGGCAGAAAAGGGGGGACGAGAGCGGTGGGCAGAAACACACTTAGGGCCAATGGGATGTGATCCGGAGCGGGTTTACATGATGCAAAGCAATGTCACGCAAATGCAGGCGGCAATAATTGACTTACAGCTGTGGTCGGAGTCGCATCCCGGGTCGAGGTTTCGGAGTTGGAACCCTGAGTTGACGTGGGAGGCTTCAGGAGGGAGAAGTAGCCGTAGTTGCTCGGCTGCCTTCCGCAGCTCTCTTCGTCATAGCCTGGGCAATCTTGACTGCAATTGTCGAGACTCTCGACACTGGCCGCAGCCGGCTGGACATCGGAGCACCAGCATAACTGGTACTGCACTATGGCAAAGGCCGTGTCTTTCTGAATGCAGTAGTCCGAGCAGAGGCCGAGGCTCTGCCATTGACTGTAGTCTGGAGAGACTGGTTAGCATCGTATGAGGTTGGTCGGGACATCTGGACATACTGGAAGCCATCGTTGCTGTGTTGACAGTCGAACACAGGCTCTGCCTCAACGTGTCGCGCCGCACAACGCCATTGGGGGTTTGTCCGGAGTGTGTCCACAATGGCATGAACAGGGCGGCGAGGCCCATGATTTGAAGGGTGCGCAGCAAGGAGTCCATGATTTCTGGTGTGTCGATGCTAATTCTGGAAGTATTACTTGGTCAGTGTCGCTCTCGTCTTTGTGGCGGTACCAGTTGTGAGTAGTTTAGGGATGGAGCAGAGACCAACGTACGTGGGCCGCAACAATCAACACTTCGTCACTGGCATCGAAGAAATTGATGACAGCGGAGGCTCGAATCGGGGCGTAGGGCTCGGAGGTCTAATAGCGAGACGCAGTGCAGCCAGCAGCTCCCATGACACCAGGCAAGTGAATGCTTTGGTGATGCCGATTCTTTCACCGTTGCAGCGTGAAAGATAAACCAAGTCCTCCCAGCAGAATAGCCAGGTCGATGGCCAGCAGATGGGTGACTAGAATCAGGAGTCCAGGCCGGATTGCCAAGCGTTTGGTTGCCAGGGTCGTTCGGAACACGGGTCTCAGGCGGCAGGCGGCAGATCGGGTGGCCGTGGAGAAGCAGGCGTGCTTGCGTATCCCTTGGGCGTGTGGTCGTCGTCGTTGTCGTCTTCGCCGTGATAATGCTTTACGCCGAGGGAGGGCAAGGGCGAGGGCGAGGGCAAGGGAGAGAGAGAGTCGGGCGTGTCTGGAGACGTAGTTGGAGAGACGGGCACAGCACACTGGCAGGCAAGCCGAGTCGGGATTGTTGGTGGTGGAGGAGGAGAGGGTGGCAGGGAGGGCGAGGCGCGGAGGTTGGCGGCAGGGGGGGCGGCCAGGCAAGCAATTGGATGAAAAAGAAAGTCGAAGCAACGTCGCAAGCAAAGCAAGGCAGCGGGCAAGAGAAAGTTAAAGCGAGTGGCAGAATAGTGAACAAAGGCGAGGTGAGGAAAGCGAATGGGACCTCACACGCACATGGATGAGTGAAAGATGGGAAGTGGAGGTGGGCCTAAAACGACAGTTGGGAGGCCGATAACCTGTTCGTCGTGCTTGTGTCTGTTGCCCAGAGGCACCGGGAGCGACCTAGCACAGAAGAAGCGGAGACCAGACGCGGCGCTAGGCAGGGAGCATGGGGCGTGGGCTGCGAGCGTTGTGCGACAGTGATGGTCAAGCTCCGTCCAGCTGTCCAGGGCTCAAAGGTGGGCTTCGACGTCGTGGGTTGTACTGGTAGACGGGGGACGGGCCTAATCCTGTCGTTGCATGATAAGGAGGACGCAGGTCTCGGTCGTTTCTCCAGAGTCGGTCTGTTGTGCCCAAGGTAGGCGGAGGGCGATGGTGCAGGTTGGCGAAGGGGAAGAGAACGAGAGGAAAACAAGATGGAGACGGCATACACAGAGAGCAGAGGAGGAGGAGGAGAGGAGCAGGAGGAGGAGGGAGCAAAAGTAGGAGGCAGGCGGTTCATCCACAATCAGAGATCCACAATCAAAGATCCACAACCAAAGATCCACAATCCACAGTCCACTGTTGTCGGTCCACAATTTCCAGCGGAAGGTAGAACGCACCGAGGGGGCAGGAGCTGGCTCTGGTAGTGAGTACCTTCCAATAGAGCGAACTCACAGGGCAAAAACGCTCCAGGTTTGCACCTGAACCGCCCTGGGCACCTGCATGTAGGTACCTGCTGTGGCAAAAGTCAGAGAGATACTGACTTGGCAGCCGACCAGCCAGCAGCGAAGGGGTGAGTCTACAGCGAGCTACATATACCCTTCTTGCCTTCCTACCTCCATGGTACCTCGCCTACCCACCACGATGTACGATGCACGATGCGCATCTCCTTTTCGCAAGTGCATCCGTCTGATAACGTGCTTTGGCCTGCCTTCTCCTCCGCCATGGCATTACAAGTACCTTACGGGTCTGGGACCTGTCAGCCATTGTCTATACTTTGCAACAGCTCGGCCGCAAAGCGTCACGCACACCATTGAGCACTGCAAAATCGAGGCACCTGTGAGGAATGTAGTCACTAAGAAACGCCATGCGGAACTCAACTTTTTTTTTTCTCCTTGTTCCCCATCCACACAGAGAGGCCCATCCATCCTCTTGCTCGCAGGCTTGCCCCTGAACACCGGACTACCCGCCAAGCGGAAATTAGCGCGGGTGAGCAAGGCCCCCTCCACCCCCCCTAGATCATGTCGTCACCCCGTAAACAACACCAAAAAGCACTGCCGCACAGGGCATTTCGTGCCTCTTGTTGCAGCACTTGCCGTTCGGGATGCTCTACTGCCGTGTCATCCGGAGGGGCTACTGTGTCCTCCTCCCTCGCCCAACTCTCTCAGCCTCTTGCGAATCCCCTCGACCTCACCCCCCACCTCGCTAAATCGCCGCCAAGCACCACCGGCGCCTGGCGACGGATGATCATCGTCGACGGTACGAGCTGACCTTGCTGACCGAGTGACAGACGTCCTGGTTATGGGTATCAATCTGGCTGAACGCACCCACCCAATTTGCCTCCTTCATTAATAATCTCGATCATCGCTCCTAACCACCTCAGTACCATGTACACTATTGCTGGCCGGAATCGTTAGCCATGTCGGTAGGCCAAGTCTGGGAAATCACCTCTCCGGGCCCTGTGGTCCACCGTCTGATGTTCTACAATCGGAGACCATCAGCCCTCAGCTGTCGACTCTGTTTGCCCTGTCAATCAGATCGTGCTGGTCTTCGTCTCATCTCCAGCCTCATCACTAGCTCCTGGGCGACTGCACTCGGATGACATGGACCGACGACAATCCGAGCCCTTGGTCGAACAAAAAAAAAACACAAATACGGGAAACCCTCAAACTCAATCCCTCTGACCACCACCAAACCCACAATGCTTCCCCATCTTCGTCCGAAAACTTGTGAGACTGCCTACTGAGCAGTCGCCATACCCCCACCTGACGCACCCATCGCGGGCGAACTCCAGCTGGTTATTACGATGGCTGGAATGGGTCTTGATTACACTCCATGCCCAGCTCATTGCCGCCCGCCGCTTGATTGCATTCATCGCATCCCTGAAATCTTGCTTTCTTCCGTCTGCGCCCACGTTCTTGTAGACAATACTTGCCGACCCCCAGATCTTCCCCAGGGATCACGTACCTCAGCTCGCCTCAGCTTTCATCCCCGCGATAACAATGGCATGGGCATGGGTGCCATCCTCAAGGGAATAGGGTTCATGCGTCTTTTCCCCGACCGCACGGCGCTGGTGCCAATTCCGGTCGTCTTTTTGGAGATATTGGCCCGGCCTGCAGACCACAACGGACAAGCCGTAGAAACTGATCAGTGAATATTGGGAATAGCGCATACAAGCCTCATTGCGCGTCCAGCTAATTGCAGGGGTGCCAGCGTTAACAACCCGCCCGATTGCCTCGTTTTTCTGAACCACTAGCCCAGAAACGCCTCCCACCCCTGGCAACAGTCCTTTAACAGGACCGAGAAAAACGACCTTGGCAATCTCACTGGCCACGCAGATGTTGGACATGATCTGATGAACCAGTCTACCACGCCGCTGTAGCGCGTTGTGGTAACATCGTACCTGTTCTTTTTTTCTCTCACCTCCATTCGCCGTTGACCCGGCCACACACAGACTCTGAGATCCAAACCTGTCTCATCACGGAAGCGACGTTTCGCACGATCGCCTGGATACCTTACCTTACGTGAAAGTGGTCAAGCGTTGTTGATGGCGAAGAGCCAGCCACACATCATGACGACGACAACCAGGCCCTGCAGTCCGAATACCCTTAACTTTTCTGCTCATGCAGTCGATGCTGCAGTCACTGCATGACTGCTAGAGAGCATCACACCCATGTGATTGATGGATCGAGGGTTTGAGGGGTCCTCGTATCAGTGAGCCATCTCTGCATGCTTACCACCACACCCTCTTTCTTCCTGTCTTGAATTCAAGCCAATCAATCCGCGGTGCCATCTTGTTCTGCCATTCGTCAATGGCTTCCCAGAATCTGTTGACAACACCCTCCCTTCAGCCCGAGAGGCGTCCATGGCGCCTCGCGTCTGGCAACCCGGGGCATGCACCCACCCACAAAAGAGCCTCCCTCCCTCCACTGGCGCGGCTCTGGTTAGTGGCCATCACGGTGGCCCAGCATGCACGGTGAGAGCCTGCACGTTGAGTCAATGACGGTGCCACGACATATCGGGGCCACGACATGTTGACAGCGTCACCTTGCAACGGCTGGTGCAGCATGTATTCTGAGCTTCCTGAGCCAAAGGCCAGAAAGGAGAAGAAGTAGACAAAATGGAGGAAATTTAGATCTGGAATGCAGCTTGGTAGTGGGCTGGCGCGCCCATATCAACTGGCAACACATCATTAAGCTCTCCCTATCGGCCCTTCGCCAAGTGGCATGCGCTTTTGCCATCGTTCTGTACTCCCTTTCCCCGCACTCTTGTCACGTTGAAAACGTTGGGCTGCGCATCAGGATATGATTTCCTGAAGCAGACCTCGGCTCAGCGCCCAGAGGTCAACATTGCTGGTGATCACGACGCTTCTCGTGCCACAATGTGTCAGGGCCCAGCTTTCCCCGCAACACACGACAGGCTGTCATGGTGTCGGCTGCACGTTGCGTGGCACAACGTCTTCACCACCACAGCCACCGCCATAAGGAACTGCCATTCAGACTCATGAATCAAGGCAACGCTGTCACCCACTTTTGACGGCTGAGCTTTGACACGATGGCAACGGCAGATCACAAAGCATGATGACTCCCGCTGTCGAACTTGTCCAGACCAATCCGGCTCTGGCAACGGCCACCAACAGCGATCGACGATAGACCGGCACGCGAAAGCCGTGCGGATGACACCAGTGTTCTGAAACCGGAGAGCTTCTTGCACTGGCCGTTGCGTGGAGGCCGTGCTCCATCGTGTCAGGGAGGGAGGGGGTACATCTACGCCCGTCTACTGGACCGAAAGTACGAACTGGTGGTTGTTCGTCGCTGGGCGGCTGTGACAGGCTGGAGCTTGCTAATCCTACGCTTGCTGAATAGAATAGCGCTCTAGCTCCAGGATTGGTTTGGAACTCGGTGGGCGGTCCGCGTCTCCCAGCAGATTGGAGGTTAGATCTGGGCCTCGGATCGGGAATGTGGGAGACCTGGAGGACGCCTCGTTCTGACTGTCGTTGACTGTTTGCGTGGTGCGTGGGTATGTGGTGTCGTCGTGGGGGGCTCTCTAGTGATGGGCGAGGCGCCAAATGTGGGGGAATTCCGCGAGAGAGCAGAGTCAGTCAGACGTGAGTACGTGGTGCGGAAGAGAAGAAGAAAAGCAGGGGCCACGGGACCCATGGAGTAACGAGGCCTCTTGAGTAACAAGAGTAACAAGACAAAGACCTCGTCGAGCATTCCGTCGACGGCGTGAGTCGGGTATCGTGACATCGAATGTCCCCTGGATGCCCAGGTCGCCGGTCGGCGGTGGCCCCGGAGCCAATATCCCATATCCCGAAATTGGGAACTCGCGGGCGCTGGAGCCGGTGATGTCAGGGCACCCTCTCGCCGACGTCCGCCAGGAATCAGCAGGTTACAGGGGGCGGAGGACACCTACGGCGGGCCGTGGCCGGAACGGCTTGTTCAGGGTGTGCATTGTTCAGGGTGTACCTTAGGTACCTTACATTGTGCATTGCGCATTGCGCATTGCGTATTGTGCTGCCCTGCTTCGGATCAACCTTTCTGCGTTTTGCCAATGACGCGACCGTCCAGTCAGAGGGGCCTCAAAGGAAAGGAGCGAACCCCGTGCGCCGGTCACTGGCTGTGGGGCCTCCTTCCATGTCACCTGCCACCATCAATCAACTGGGTCGGCTGAACCGGGTGCAGGTCAACCAACGTCTGAACGACGACGACATTCGATACACCAGCCACTGCATCGCCATCTCAGAGGCCCTTTCGACTTGATACTACTTGGACCGGGAGGGATAGTCGGCCATTGTTGTTTCTTCAGCATTGTATAATATCCTGTCTTTCTTTGCAAAGCCTGTCACGTCCGTCCGCTGCTGTTGCTGCATCTTTCGAGCGTTTTAGGTGGCAGGCCTCGAACTTGAGCTGCGTCCCTCTACCACTCAAACTGCTGCCTACACCAACCGCTGCTGCCACAAACTCATCGCAGACTGGCGGTTCCTCTTCACTCACAGGAAAGCTCCGTTTGGTCATCAGTGCTGCCCTCTGCCATGGCTCTGCCCAGAACACGGCGCTTCCTCTGGGCCGTCTTCTACACCTTCTCTGGCATTCTCCTGCTGCTCTATACATTTTCCGATCTCATCTCGCTTTCACCATGCGCCTTTATCTACAGCCAAGACAACTGCTACCGCGGTTATCTCTCCGAGTACTCTTTTGACGTCGACGAGGCCCTGCACCCAGACTGGATGAAGGCTATCTCTGATGACGCCAATATCACGAGTCTTTCCATACCGGGCACGCACGACACTCTCACCTTTGACATTCGCGATGAGCTCTTCCAATGCCAGAACAACAATCTGTCGGCGCAGCTGCGGGCTGGCATGCGCTACCTCGACGTTCGCGGCCGCCTAGTCGACGATGCCATTCAGATCTATCACGCCGAGATGTTCACCGGCTACTCCTTCGTCGACGTCCTCACCACCGTGTCCGCCTTCCTCGATGCTTTCCCTAGCGAAGCCATCATCATGCGCCTCAAGGAAGAAGGCCACCCGCACGGCACCAACACGATCACGTTTGAGCAGGCCTTCCTCCAGCACATCAAAGCCGAAGGCCAGAAGCACCGCTTCTACGCCCCCCCGGCCAAGGCCTTCTGGCCGCTGCCCACGCTCGGCACCCTGCGCTCCGGCATCCTTCTGCTGCAGAACTTTGCCGCGCCCCAGTCCGGGCCCCACGGTCTCATATGGGGGTCCAACGACATGATCCTCGAGGACCTCTGGATCATCCCGAGCCTCGAGCACCTGTACATGAAGTGGGACGCCGTCGAGCACGCCCTCACCAGCGCTGCCGACCCGGCCAACGACGACAACGCCGCCCTCTACCTCGCCCACCTCAGCGCCACCGTCGGCGTGCTGCCCATTCAGGCCGCCGCCGGCGGCATCAACGGTTCCGTCGAGGGCATCAACGACCAGACGGGCCGTTGGCTCGATCGCGGCAGCGAAACCGGCACCGGCGGCCGCACTGGCGTCGTCATCATCGACTTTCCCGGCCGCGCCCTCGTCGATGCCGTGCTGGCGCGGAACAAGGGGCTCGTGGCCCGCGGTCTGGATTTTGACCTCTAGAGACACATCCGTCTGGGCCCGCCAGTTCGATTGATTCCCTACGCTCGTTGGAAGAAACCGCATATCCGCAGCCACTTTTCATCACTATGCTGCTGCCGGCCCCACCACTCCCGCTTTCTAGAACGGCGCAAAACGTGAGCTCTCTCGGCTGAATTGGTGGCTGAGGCGACATGACATCAAGCCTGCCGCACACATCACCACCATGCATACCATCGGAAACGCCAGATTGAAGACAAGGTCACCCCAACTTAACGGTCGGGTTCGGGTCCATTCCTTTTTCAAGCCTTTTTTTTTCATATTGGGGCGCACGCGCGAAAGCGAAGAGAGAAAACAGGGTACGTGCCCACATCGGTTCGTTTGCCCAGAGATGAGGATCGACTCGCAGCCTGGGGGCGCGCCGATCTTTACCATGGCCGTTAGCGCTGCACTTCATTTTTAGAGAGAGGGAGTACGACTCGCACAATCGCGTCCTTGTTGGTCCCCGACGGATTCGAAATGGGCGGCTTTCGGGAGCTGCGCGTTTTGTATTACGCATGTGGCGGTTTCATGCGAATGAGGCTCGTCGTGATCATCAGGGGCGTGCAGATGGGCGGCAGGTACGGGAAGGTCCTTTCTTTCGCATCTCGCGATCGCGATTGAAGATCTCTGTTTGCCGTGATTCCCGTGCCTTGACTGACTTCAGGCTGTTTGGGGACCGGAGATATCGAAGGGACGGCGAGGGGCGCGTGTCTGGTTCCGTCGCCTGATGTGGTGGTTACTGGTCATCATTGGCCGCGCAACACGTGCGGGCGTGACATTCCGGGCGCAGCGTGCGTGGCGGCCAGATTGAGTGAGGCTGGGGGGGGGGGGGGGGGGGGCGCGCGAACCATCCTTTGTTTTAAAAAAAGGGGATTTCGGTCATAAACGGGCATGTGGTGGGGTTTGGGGGGTTCCCCTACCCAGATCTCCTTTCTCGATGTACACAGAGGGGGCGTTTGGGCTGCAGACGTGCGAGGGCCCAAAATTCATGTTGCTGCTGTCGTGGCCGGACATGTCTGTTGACATTTACTTTTAATATTGTGTTGTGCTGGCTAGGACGTCCCTCACTGATAATTTTAGCCTCACACAGCGTTGCCACCGGTCCCATGTGTACCTGCGCTCAGATTCCAAAAGCCTACTACCTACCAAGTCTCTCGCCCAACGTAACACGTATTTAAAGACTTGTTGCGTGATGGCTCCCTTGGAGGCGCGCGTCGCGTAATCGCGTCATCGCCTGTGGACACCAACGCGAATTCAACATGACTTCCCCATGAGCCGCATCGCATCCCAAGGGACATATTAGAGGTCATCGTCAAGACCTCTACACGATCACGTCCATGAGAAAGAACAAGGGCCTGCTCGCAGCTCCCCGCGATAGCAGCAGTCAATCGTTCCATTGGCGTAGTGTACGCCATACCCTTTCCATTTCTCTCTATGATCCTGTTTTGTTACATGTTCACGTGAATCTTCCATGTCATCACTCCCTTCCCCTTCGTCCTTTTCATGTCGTTACGGCAAGCAATGACATGTTGGTACACATCGTACATGGTAATGGTACAGCGTCCAACCTCACAGCACCTCTTTTTCCAGGCAGCAAGCGGTCCATCACCCCGGCAAGTCATCGCCACCCCTTGCTCTGCCTGCTCGCCTGCCTGCCTGCCACTTCTAGTCATATCATAAAAACGTTGCTGAGTAGGGTATCTTGAAGTGATTCCATAAAGAGGAGACTGAATTTCGCTGAATAATAGTGTGACAAAAACGACCTGAGTCGTCGCCCGCCTCCGCTCGGCGAAAGCATGCATGGGAATCATCCCCTCGAGTGGCCTGTCGTGAAATCCGGGGCCTCGGGGCCTGCGACTGAACAAAGTAAAATAGGTACTGGTAGCAAATTCTTTCCGTTTCGTTGACGTGACCACTCCGTCTTTCGGTCCGCTCCAGCGCTGACGACCTAGCACCGAGCATCCGGTTCCGTCCTTGCACACCGCCTCGGCTGCCGGCCACCGGCCACCGTCGAGATGTAGCACCGTCCAGTATCGAAGCACCTAATAGTGGTGATTTCGGTAGTACTGGACTTGAGGCAGTTCCTAACGCCTCTGCCTCTTTTCCACTGAGAACCCGTTCGCATCCTCACTTCTCCGTTTCCTGCTGTTGTCCCGCGGGTCGCGTCGATCGTCCGGCGGTCTGAGCACAGAGTCTCTCTGTCCGCTCCGTTGGTGCCTCGAGGCACTCCCGTTCCACTCCTCCGCTACGAGACCTCCTGGTCCCATGTCACCCCGATCGCCTCGATGACGGGAATCGCGGCTGGCGCCGTCCCTATTGTTCGGAGGCAGCGCGCCTGTCTGCGACTCTCGGGGGTTGCTGCCACTCGGATCACGCGTAGAACGTCTGGGCTCATGCTCGTCTCGAGAGGACGATCCATGGCCTGTAGCGCCCGAACGTCGGTCCCGGTGTGAGCGACTGTCCTTACTATCCCGCTCGTGGCCTCCAGGGCTACGCTGACGCTCTCGGCTGCTTCTCCTAGATGGTCGACTAGATCGTTCAGAGCGATCGCGCTCCCTACGACCGCGCTCGTGCTCGCCCCGGCCATGCTCTTCGCCCTCATAGGGCCTCTTGTCAGACGACTGAAGAGGATCCTGGTGCTCTTCGTAGGCTGACGTCGACGCCGGCGACCCTCCGACCAGAATCTGAGCATCAGAGTTGGCCAGATTAGTCCGACTGCTCCTGCCTCGGATAGTCGTGCCCTTGACAGGGTCAGGTCTGCCTTGAGCCTGTTGCAGTGTGCTGTTGATACCCTCTAGCTGTCTTCTGCCACCCTGCTTTCGGCCACCTCCCGAGGCGGGCCCGGTGGGTGTTGCAAAATCGGGGGCCGGCCCGCTGAAGTTCCCAGAAGGGATTTGATGGGACCCTTGACCCGAAGTCAGCGGCCGATCTGGGGTGCTTGTGGGTTGACGTGAATGAGCGTCCCCAGCGGACACAGATGGCGGTGGACCCATCTGCGCCAGACGATCAGGATGCACGCCGGGAGCAACTGTGGCACTGTCCGAGGGTCGAGATGAGGGGACCGGAGTGTCGACAGGCCCCTGCCATGGTCCCTCTGACGGCGTCACCGCGTTCGAGTTGGGTGTAGAACCCGAGGCATTCTGACCGCGATGTCCTCGGCCTGACGACGGTCCCGCCGGAGGGTGTCGATCATCAGCAGCAGAGGCGCCAGGGCTACCGGTACGAGGAAGGCGACCATCACCGCGGGGCGGCGGTGGAGGCGGTGTGTTGAAGTTGTTCCTCGGGTTCGGTCGTGCGCCTCGCCCTCTAGGGCCTGAAGGGGCATCAACGACTGAGGCAATCGGATAGTTGCTGTTGAGGCGCCCGTATTGGTCATCTTGCTTGGGCCGCCCATTGTCACGTTCGGCTCTGGAAAGGAAGGCCTCCCGCGTGGGGTTGCTGTCTGAGCCACCAAATGCGCCGTCCCTCTCGGGGCCTCTTTGGAATGAAGTTCTGGGATCGTCTGTTCTGTGATCCCTAGGGTCTCTGGGGTCTCTGGAGTCCCGTGGGTTCCTAGGGTTCCGGGCATCTGTAGGATGAGGAAGGCGGCCGAACTGCTCATCCCGGACCGCGTCTCTGAAGGGATTTGAGGAAAGTCGGTCGGGGTTGACGCGACCACCTCGTGCAGGCGAGTCTTTTCGCGGTGCACGGTCTCGTTCACGAGGATCCTCGCGCGGTTGTCGGGGCAATGGCTCCTGTCGCCCATCGCCGAATAGGACGGGACGCTCAACGTTCATGTTTTCTGAACGATCGTGCTCCGGCCCTCCCGACCCTTGATGACGCTGCGCTCCTCGTTGTTCACCGTCCCGCGCTCGAGATCGTTCACGATCGGGTCGCTCGGTACGGGAGGGGGTGTCGCTCTGAAACAAAGCTGCACGCGCAGGATTGATGGGCGGCTCGATTGCTGCCGTCGAGCCACCGGCGGGTGTACCAGCCTCACGACCAGGCCTGCCAATATCAGGGCCTTGGCTGGTGCTCTGCGGCAACCTCTCCTTTGGTGTTTCGGCTTCTCGACCGCTCTGGAGATGGTCGCGGCGAGGGGGTCGATCGCCTTCGGACAGCCGGCCACTATCTCTCGTAGATACGTCTGGGCCGCGGCGCTCAATTCTTGAGCTTTCACGGCTACTTTCTTGTCGAGAAACGTCTCCACCCTTGGGCTCCCAGGAATCTCTGGCGTCGCGTTGGTCTCGGGATTCGCGGGCATCTCGGTTGTCTCTGGGCGCGCGTGGGTCTCTATGGTCCCTGACATCTCGGCGATCGTTAGGTCCTGCTGGTGTAAAGCGATTCAACGGCTGGTGTTCTGGGATAGGGCCAGGGGGTCGCTGTGGAAGACCTGGTCCGCGGGGAAGACTGGACGCGTTTCGGTTTGATGGCATATTCGGTTGTCTTGGATCCCTGTTCGATGAACCCGGAGCATGAGGCAGCGTCTCCGATGGGTTCGGTGTAGATGACCGGTTGTGAGACAACGCGCCATGCATGGGCTTCGGGCCACTCGGCGTGGAAACCGGTAGTCGGGGAGAATCCCTCTGATTGGACTGAGGAGTACCTTTGGCATCCCTTCGAGTCGATGTCGAACGCTGCGGAAAAGAAGCTTTGCCATCCTGGACTTCGCCGTCTTCGTTCTGGGCTCTGATGAAATCGTCAGAATTGTTGAAATCTCCTTGGGTATGTGCGCTGAACTTACGAGGGTCGAAACTCTGGTGCAGTGGCTCGGAGATTACCGCCTGAGCTGGATGCTTGCTCGTCCTCATTACCTTGAGCAGCGCTTTGCGTGGACTGTATCGCCAAAAGGTTAGCGGTGGGCCGCAGTGGTAGAGTTTGTTGGGGTCGTGCATACCAAGTTTGTCCGGAAGGCTTGCGGTGCAATCCAAGTCTTTTCCATCTTAGCCATGTTGCCCAGGACGCGCTGTGCAGTAAGCCACAGATCGCCTCTGAGATTCTTTTCGCGTGCAACAATAGTCTTCAGCTGGTTCTGGAGCTGGGTGCCCATGAACGTGACCGCGGGGAAGTCCTCGTGGGCCTCAGTCAAGAATGAAATGGCGTTGCGGATGTGAGTCCATTCGGTACCAGAAAGACAGGCCTTGAGGGCCAAGTTGATGTTCTTGTGCCACCCATATAGCACGTCCTGGAACTCTGCGTGGTCAAGATGGGATGTCGGGTGACCTTCTTCATCGAATGCAGTCGCAAACCCAAGGTAGCCACCGGACCTCTTGCTCTTGCCAATGGCCTCCTTTTCGTAGTCGGCGCTGGACTTGTGCCATTTGTTGAGCTCGCGTAGTATGAGGTGGAAGAAGTGACCGAGGTACACGCCCTCCTGCACAGTGCAAGTAAAGAGCATGCCGCGCAGCCTGTTGGCCTTGAAGAGGCGGTCGTACAGCGCCATGAGACGGAAGTTAGGGCATGAGAGTTCATGGATGTACTTGATGAGGGCAAAGGAGTACTCGGAATCGATCTTGGAGAGAATGATGCGAGGAAGGAGACATTGTTCGAGGATGGCATCAGAAACACCGTTAGATTTAAGCGGCTCACCCATGAACCAGGTGTCCATACGCTTGGTGATGAGGACCTTTGCCTTGGCGACTCTCTCGGACTGTTGGGTGCTTTCCTTGATGAAAGTATCCATGGTGTCCTTCAGTTCCTTTTGTTTTGCACTCCTCTGGGCTTGCAAAAGCTTGCGATCTTTCGTGACTTGTCGGTACTGTTCTTGCAGACGAGCTTGCTGAGCATGGTAAGGTGCCCAAGGAACCCCAAGATCGCCGAGCTGAAGGGCCCAGAAAATGGCAAAGAACTCAACACTGATCTTTTTCCAGGCGCTTTCTGGTGTTGTTGAGCGAAGGGATTCGACAATGGGATTCAGTGCATCAAAACTAGTGGCCGCGGTAACATGAGCTTCCCCTGGCGCTTCCGGAGCGGGTGTCTCGGGTTTCGTGGTGTCCGGGGCAGACTCAGTCGCTGTCGCGTCGTCGCCCATGGACACATCGCCTTCAGCATCGGGCGCTGATTGCGATATTTGTTTTGGCGCTGTTGTTGGTTTGGAAAAGATGTGAGCAGCAAGACTCTCGCGGCCAATGGCGAAGGCGAAGCTAGCGTCGAGACCGAATTCCGCCATGAGTTGGCTGATGCTGGGCACGAGTCGGTCAAATTCGGCAGGGTCAAGGTTCGCGCGCAAGAGATCGAGATACTGAACCAGGATCTGGTGACTGTTGTCCATGAGTGACGAAAGGTATTTGACGTGCGCGCCATCGTCCGAGAGTCTGAAAGTAGCAGACTGTCTGAACTGGGCAATGTTAACGAGCAGGCGTCCAGCTAGACGAGAGTCAACAAGAGCATGCGTCAGGCGTTTCGAGCTCGCAATGACAGCTGGTTCAAAGCGACGATCTTGAAGGCTGATCAATGTTCGTCGCTGAAGCAAGGCCATGCCGGACATGGCGATGACCTCGTCGTATCCGATATCGGCAGTGTTGACGATACCGCCCATTGCATCGACCAACTCCGAGAGAATGATCAAATCCGTTGAGTTTCCATGTAGCAGCTGGTCATGCACATAGCGAAGGATGGGTGTCGCGTCCAGCTCTCGATACCGCTTGAAGAGCTTGCCCGTAAGCTTCGACAGCTCCAGCAGCCATGGGCTGATGGACAGGATGTAGGATGCCTGTGTACGACTCCGCTGATTGCTGCCGAGGGCAGACAGCAGCGACCAGATCATCACGTCCTTGGTCAAGTCGGTGAAGAAGCGGACACACTCCGCGAAGACGTCGCTCAGATTGCCGTAAGACATCATTAGCTCGAGTGCGACCTTGAAAACAACGCCGGGAGAGGAATGAGTGAGTTTTGCGAGGGCTCTTCCCATCTCCACAGCATTGTCCTTAGAGATACGCTTCATGACACCCTGTGCCCTAGACTTCGTGTCGGCAAAGGCCTTGACCATGGCGGCTCGACGTACTTCCGAGCCTCGATTGGGGGCACCCTCGAACCAGTCTGCGTAGATGCTATACCGGGTAGCAATAGGGTACTGTTTCAGCAGAGTCCAGACAAGGTTGGCTGTTGCGGGAGCACCCTTTGACGTGCTCAGAGCAGGGACCAGGATACGGCGGAGGAGGTCCTGCCACCGGTCTAGGTTGTGTTTCGACTGATCCTCTGCCAGGCTCTTCTGTCCAATACTCGCCAACATGACAAGGAGCTGCTCGCTTTTGCCAATGTTGACGCCTGTAATGTTGAGAAGCGACGAAGAAAGCGTGAATACGTCGTCGACTGTTTGGCAGACTGGAACGTTGTCGGACCATTCGTCCCAGTAGAACCTGTAGTGCTGATCACTGACGCCGAGGCGGCCATCTGGCCATGGCCATCGCATAGATTTTCGAATGGGGATTTCGGATCGCCGGACTGAACCTTTCGCGACGCCGCTCTGGTCTGAATCGGCCACCTTCTTCGGGGGGCACGCCATGGAGGATGTTGTGGTGGGTCGGGTTTCTTGGTAAAGTTTGTCGATGGAATACTCCAAAATCCGGTTCACTCGGCTTATGATGTCGGGGTAGCCTTGCAGCAACCAGGGCCAGCGGCCGATCAGGAAGAGAGCTTCGGGGATGGCCCCGATGGTCAGAAGGCTGATGACCAGGGCTCCCTTTTGCTCATGGGGCTCATCCTCTTCCTTCTTGTCAACGCCTTCTGCCTGGTCAGGTTTCGAGGCTGCTTTCGGTCTGGTGGCTGTATCCCTGGATCGTACTGGAGGGGGTAGGGTGTCGTCAGAGAGTGCGCCAGCGGTTAGAAGAGCATTCTTGCTAGCCTCGCCGCGGCTTTCGCGTTCTTTTTCTTCGAGTTGCTTGATCCGTTTGTCTCGGAAGGATTCCATGTCATCGTCGTACGGAAGAGATGTGCGTAGAGGTCGATCAGAGAAATGAAGCCAATTTTGATGAGCAGAGCGGCCAAGTAAAGCAGGTTCGCAGGGAGAGCTTGACCTTCCCTGAAATCGGACGCATAAAATCGAAGTTTAAAGCCCAAAAGCTGTGCAGCGACACGATTCCCTTGGGGAGGAAGCGTGCGGGTGGCCGTGATCCACGATCTCACAGCCTCGCCTTCAGTTGCGGCGCCAGCATTGTCGGCTGCCGCGCGCTCGAGATCCTGCTCTGAGGCTCGTCGGCCACCAAGTTCGAAAAAGGCCTGGATCTGCTTTTCCCGTGCTCTTTCCCAAAACCCGATGTCTCTTTGACGCCTCACCTCGGCAATAGCAGACTCATCCAGTTCGGAGGGGAGAGGAAGAGCCCAGTCGGGAAGACCACCCTGAATGATGGCGTCAAAAGGCGTGTTGCTCCGAGGCCACCATGAACTGACGCGCAGGAGCTTGACGAAGAACTTGCTGGCTTTGACTAGCGATGTGGCGTGAACATCGAGAGCGACGTCAAGCACTCTGCCGACATCGAGATCAAAGGTTCCAATAAGCCCCTTGATCTTCTCGAAAGCAGCCTCGGCCTCCCTCGTCGTGGGCGTGTCGTAGTCATCAACGCATGAAAATAGCTCGGTCACCAGTTTTGAGTAACCTTCCGACTCTTCTCTCAGCAGGTTGTAGTTGGCCTGCCGGTAAAGCATGTTGGTAGAGTGACGAATGGCCATCTTGCCAAAAACCTCCCGGATAAGGCCGAGTTTCTGAAGAAGAGGGGCATCCAGCACTTGGCGGATGAGCGTCGGCGATATGGCCGTCGCAATGAGGAAGTCCCGAAACTCTGGGATAAAAAGGTCGGGCTGGTTGTCCATGATGATGGTTATCGTGTCCAGCAAGAGCGTGTGTGGCTCGAACGAGTAAGAATCTTTAATAACCTCCTTCGTTTCCGGGCCCAGGATCTCTTTGACACAGGCGCCAGCATCGGTAGGGTTGAGGCGGTATTCGGCAACTGACTGCACGAATTCCTGGAAAAGGCTAGACAGCTCGGTGATGTCGACATCCTGCCTTGACTGCACGCCGTGTTCGATGAGAGCTTGCCTCGAACCGCTGTCCCAGGACGCAATCTTGTCATCGGTGAGAATCTCATAGGGGTAGTTGGATGAAATCGGTGCCGGGAGAGTTGCTGCTGGTGCTGGCGCAGGTGCGGCAGGAGGGGGCTGTTCCACAGGAGGAGCAGGCGGGGGGACGGCGGCTGATGTTCGCGGCGTCTGGTGGCGAGAGGTCGTCGGGGAAGAGGCATGCTGTTGATGGTTGTAGGGAGCGCCTAGTCCAGCCTGGTTCTGCGTCGAGTCGCGACGATCGTTCCTCCTGCCGTTCCTGCCGCCACCACGGCCACCTCTTCCACCACCACCATCATAGCCATCTCGGCCGCGTTGACCCATGGCGGTATCAGCAGGTCGGTGGGGCGAGGGTCGGTTGCCGTCGAAGGATTGATCGGGTCGCTTGCGCTTAGCGGGAGCCATTGTGAGGCTACTCTGGCGATGGGCGGATCAAGGGCTCATTGGTGAAAGGAGCAGATGCGTATGTGTATGTGTCGGCAGCAATTGCTCAGTTGACTAGGCTGGCGATCAGTAAGGGAGGGCAGAGTCGAGAGACGCGCGACAAGACGGCTACAAGGTCAACAGATTATGGCAGCATGCGATTGCACTGCTGATGTTGGTGTTGGTCGGTATGGGGATTGGTGGAAATGGGTCGACAAAGAAAATCGAAGTGGCACGCGAAGCTTGACGGGGCGGGTTCGAAGCTCCGTTGGCGACCGAGTGTGGCGGAATAAATACACAGGTCGGCTGCCTGGGTAGGTCGCAAAGAGGTCGTGTACGTCACACGGCCAGCTGCACCAGATTGCGAAAAGGCAGCGGAAGGCAGGCGCGAGGTCAAGGTGATGGAGATCCTCGACGAACCTGAGGTGGAGGGAGGTTGTGATGTGGTCGTCGACACGATGGCTGCAAGGCAGGTGCGGTTGGGGTCCGCCAAAGAAATCCATTCGTCGCGCAGAGCAAGAGCAAGAGCAAGAGCAAGAGCAAGAGCAAGCAAGGGCAGGTGGAGACCAACAGATAGGAGCCTGCCGAATGGCGAGGCTGAACTCAATGGAGTGGATCCCAAGGTTCCGGGGACTTGGATTTTCGCAGGCCAGAGCACACTGATCAAGGTCCCCAAGACATTGCCTGGGATGCAACTCCGGAAGACGGCTGTTTGCTGACTCATACGCGCTGAGAACCAATAAGAGGCTCTCACCTCTGGATTGCGTGATGACGCTATTCTGGCTCCATCAGTTTCAACATCCCGATCAAGCTGTGTTGCCAAATGACTCAACGAGACAGACTTGTAGTACATCGTAAGCACCTGGCATAGTAGAGGAAAGATCCGCCGGTTTCTGTCAACTTGGCTTTTTAGTCTGCATCGCAACATTGTATTGTTGGAAAGACGGGGTCTCTTCCACGATGGCGGTTCAAACTCAGGAGGCCGATGACCGGCCACGATTCGGTCAGTATTCTCATGCTCATGCTTTCACCCCTCACCTCACTTTATCCATCCTCCGTTCCCCTCTTCACTCCTGATCGTATGGTCTTGGCGCGGAGTATTCATTTTATTTTTCTTTGAGAAGACCGGTGACTGAATACTTCCAAGAAAGAACGCAAACACAACCTGAGAACCCGTTCGCTGGTCTCATTCCCGAGCAGCAAATCGCCATCATCCCCTCCTTCACACTCGAGTCTGGAGTGACGCTTTACAATGTCCCTGTGGCATACACAACGAGGGGAACGCTCAATCCCAGTGGGGACAATGCCATGGTCATCTGCCACGCCCTGACGGGAAGCGCAGATGTCAGCGACTGGTGGGGTCCTCTGCTCGGCGGCCCAGGGAGGTCCTTCGACACGTCGAGATTCTTCGTCGTCTGCATGAACAGCCTCGGCAGCCCCTATGGCACAGCAAGTCCCGTCACAGCAAAGGATGGTGATCCATCCAAGGGCCGATACGGCCCTGAGTTCCCCCTGACCACCATCAGGGACGATGTCAAGTGAGAATTTGCCCGCCACCTCCGAGAAGAAGTCTCACAAGATATCATGTGTCTATGAGAGCATGTCTCTAACAGCGCCGCAGTCTTCACAGGCTCCTCCTCGATGACCTCGGTGTCAAGCAAGTAGCGGCTGTCATTGGTGGTTCTCTCGGCGGTATGTTCGTCCTCGAATGGGCTTACTTTGGCAAGGACTACATCCGCTGCATTGTCCCCATCGCCACCTCCAGTCGACACAGTGCCTGGGGTATCAGCTGGGGCGAGGCTCAGCGCCAGAGCATCTACGCCGACCCCAAGTATGAGGACGGCTACTACACCTTCGAGGACCCCCCGGCGGCCGGTCTTGGTGCCGCTCGCATGTCGGCCCTCCTGACCTACCGTAGCCGCAACTCGTTCGAGTCGCGCTTCGGCCGTAATACCCCCGACCCCTCAAAAAGGCAGGTCATTCGCGAGAGGCCCCGGCCCACGACCCCCTCGGGCGCCCACTTCCACATCCACAACGACGGCCACCGCGTCTCCCGCGCCGGCATGTCCCGCCACAACAGCGGCGGCAGCCAGGCGAGTATCGGCACACCGGCCACCGTCGACGCCGCGTCCGTCCTGCCGACGGCGGATCCGCAGTTCCACGGCCCCCAGACCGAGAGCCTGACCGGCGGCGACAAACTGCCAACGTCGACGTACTTCTCGGCCCAGTCCTACCTGCGCTACCAGGGCGGCAAGTTCGTCAAGAGGTTCGACAGCAACTGCTACATCGCCATGACGCGCAAGCTGGACACGCACGACGTCTCGCGGGGTCGCGCGGATTCTGTGGCCGAGGCGCTGGCCCTGATCGAGCAGCCCACTCTCGTTCTCGGCATTGAGAGCGACGGCCTCTTCACCTTTGCCGAGCAGGAGGAGATTGCCGAGCACATCAAGCTCGGCAAGCTGGAGCGCATCGACAGCCCAGAAGGCCACGATGCTTTCCTGCTGCAGTTTGAGCAGGTCAACAAATACGTCCTTGCCTTTCTGAAAGAGGTCTTGCCGGATATCATGGACAAGGAGAGCCAGTCAGTCGAGGAGGAAGGCGTCGGCAAGATAACCAAGAGCAGCACGTTCGGCGAGGCAGAAGTCGAGGACATTACGGCGTGGTAGGAGGCGGATGTAGATCCTTACCAATCATGTCGGTCGTGTATGAGATTATGATTTGCGCTGCTCGATGCAGCCTCTGTCCGCCCCTCAACTTCCAGCTATGATTTGCGCCGGATTCAACTTCCGGCGCGCTGGTGAGATGCGATGGCCGCAGAGCTGGCCTGGGCGGACCATGATGCTGTTCAAAGTGACGCAGCTATGAAATATAGAAAGAAAAGAATGTAACACATTCCCCCGGACAGATGCCCCTGTGCCGCAAAGAAGATGGGTCACTGGTGCTGATGGTAGAAGACGTAGATTCTGTATCTACCCATTCATGGATGCTTACACAGAACCACCATCCAGAACATCAGCTTCAAGTCTTTCCCACCCACATTTCCATGATGTCAAGCTACCTAGGTACAACTGTCCAGAAGCAAGGAATTGCCGGTGTAAGTAGACCAAGTAGTGGTGGCCTTGCCTTTACCTAACCACCAAATTCCAACACAGCAGCTGCCTTCTTGTAGTTATCGACCTCACGCACTAGCTGGTCTCGATTGTTGCGGGTAAGAAAATCCTCGCCAGCAACTGCATTGAGCTTTTTGTCATCAAGCTCCGAGACCAGTTCAGGGGTGAAGATGTTGAGGGGCCCGTCCTTGACGTCAAGGAGGTAGTACAAGATGCTCTGTTGGCACACCACGTCCACAAAACGCTTGCGTGCTACCTTGTAATAGCTCTGCAGAATGTCGTGAATATCCTCGTAAACCTGCTGAGAATTTGACTTGTGCGTCGTGATCTGACTCAGCTGCGAGGGATCAATGAGCATCTCACGATAAAGACTGCCTGAATTATCCCATTTCTTTGCCCCTAACACAGAGTGTGTGCTGATAGAGGCGGCAAGCCTGGCCGTGCGACATTTCTGCAGATTCTCGTTGAAGTAGTGATTCAACGTGTAGGGCGGGCCGTTTCGCTCGATGTCCAGGATAAACTGGGTATGCTTCATTGCGCGTTTGTATGAGTTGCACAACTTCTGTTGAAGAACCATGCTCATGAGATGGCCGCGCATGCTCTCGTCTGGACAAACCACCTTCAGAAGCTCAACAATGAAGTGGTGTACAATGCGGATGGCCTGGCTGGTGTAACGCAGGGCCAAGGGTTCCCATTTCTGCGACTGATCTCGGAAGGCTTCTGCTAGAGTCGAGCCGCCAAACTAATGTGTTCATGTCAGAGATGAGCACAAGTTTATCGGTCTCGGGGTTGTCATCAACGTACTGTTCCAAGTTCGGGTCCTCGGGTGGAATTATAGATCCTCGCAATGTGTTCCATCAAGGTAACACTGGTTGCAGTGGGGGCCGCCGGCAACTTCTCCTGCAAGATCTCTCGAAGTTCCTTGAATGGACCCCGAAACATGTCCATCATAGGTGAGTCTCTCACTTCTGACTCCTTACCTGATGAGTCCTTATGTGATGATTCCTTATCTGATGATTCCTCATCTGCCCATTTACCGGCTTCCTTCGGTGCAACGTCTTGGTCTTGAAATTCCAGGGTATGCCCAATGTCACTGCACTGCTTGCTGAACGCTTCATTTAGCTTGACAAGGTGGCTGATGAGCTTTAGGGACTGGTCGTTAGCAAAGAGCTCCACTCCATTGTAGAGACCTTGGCGACCTCTCTGAGCAATATTTTGGAATGCGGTGCTGATCTGAGTAAGGCACCGCCTCTGGGCATTCGAACCATCTCTGGCCGGACCGAGCCTTTCGAGCTGAGCTTCCCTGTCGGCGAGGTTATTCTCCACATCGAGAGCCACATGCTTGAACTCTTGCTTTGTGACGCTTCGTAAGAGATCCCTTAGCGCTGTCAAGAGAGCAGTGGTGCCGACTCTACGAGTTGACTGAAGGTCTGCCCACGGCGGCGTAGAGAAGAAGACCTGCTCCGACTGTTGCTGAGCGGCCTTGTGAGAGCTGCCAACATCGTCGGAACCACGGTTCTTCACAACGTAGTATCCCAGGCGCAGTGGATTCTTCCGGCCCTGGATCAAGTCGCAAATGGCCTGCTGCATGGCCTTTTCGGGGGCGAGATCAGGCTTGGTGAGGACGCCCAGGGTGCGTACCCCGTCCGGGTCAACCTCTTTGGCCATGGTCAAGACTTCTTGTGTTGCAATGTCCACATTGCAAGGAATGACGGCAAGAATGATGGTCCGCTGGTCCGTGATGTATTTCTTGACCATGTTCCTGACAAGGAGTATGTCAACGTCAGTCGTCAAATTCTCAGTGGAGGTACGGAAGATACCCGGAACATCGATGATGGTCAGGTGTTGTTGCTGGGTTCAGTCAATGTCAGTTCTTAACATGGTTGAGAGATTGGTGGTGTCCCGTGTGGGTTGTCTTACGGTTGGCCCACTGATTACGATCTTGAGAACGTCCTCGGAGAAGGTTGTCAGGTCTGCCGAAGAAGGTTCATCCCCGTCTCCGCGGATGCCCATGGCATTGTTTGCCTCGAAATGGAGTGAGTAAATGAATGCCTATGAATGAGTAGGGTAAGCAACTCACATCGGCGAATACTTCGGCCAGAGCCAGATCTTCTACGTTGATTGAGCGCCGAAACCCCCTGAGCTGTTCTGCGCGGCTCTCGCTGGAGTTGGGGTGCGGGATGATGGATACGTCAATGCTTTCGGAGTCATCACGACGGGAAGTAATCTGGGTCGCGTATCTGGTGCAGAGGCCGGCCGCACGCGGGAAGGCGAAGCCAGTCAAGCTCTCGAGAACGGAGCTCTTGCCAGATGACTGGTCACCTACCACAACAAGTTGAGGGAGAGAAACTTGGTCAGCGATACCGCACTCTCGGAGCTTGTCAATGATATTGACGTAAACCTCGTCGCCGAGGGTAGCAGGAGGTTCGTTCATCGTCAAGCTACCCATTCTGGAAAGTGACAAGTGCGGGCGGTCAGGTTTGGAACGGGGCGATGGAAGCAGGTGAAGAAGGCAGGCAAAAGCGTTGGCGTCAGATTGATAACAAATTGAGTCTGTCTTGAGTTCAGTCCGGGCAACAGTACAGGAAGTCTGTTCTTTATATGCTTTTCTAATGTTGCTTCACCGCATAGCTTGCGAGGCTGCCCACAGGCTGCAGGCTGCAGGCTGCCTCTCGCGCCGTTTGATACCTCAATATCTTGGCTGCGAACAGTTCTTTCCGCAGACCCGTGACGCCATCTAGGATTGAGTATTGCGTATCATCGTAGCCGTTGCCAGTGCCGCGGCGACGGCCCGGATTCATGTCAAGGTCGGGAAATGGGCCAACAAGGCAGACTACGAGCATGATGGACAGAGCGGCCGGAACAAATGTGTAAAAACTGACAAACAAGGGTCAAAATACTCTATTGGTTTTTTCCTTCCTCTTGTGAACATCTGAAATTTAATGAATCGTCATGCAACTGCAATACCAGAGGTGCAGCATCTTCAGACGAGGATCGAGGATGATGTCGTTTGCGCCCCCACTATCAACGTGACCCCCACGCGCTCATTGAACAAGAGTGAATTGAGGCACAGTAGAGTGAGTGGTGGCATCATGGAGCGCTATTTTCGGCTCCCCATTCAACAATTGGTTCGGTGGTGTAGTTGGTTTATCACGTCAGTCTAACACACTGAAGGTCGGGAGTTCGAGCCTCCCCTGAATCATTTTTTTTGCGACTTGTGCACCCGCCCCGATGAATGTAGTTTTGCTGACATTTGAGGCATATCAACAAAGATTTCGTCTTCACATCGCGATGCAATTTGCACAGAGTTGGGTGTTATTGCCCCGTCGAGCATGGCGCATGACCAGGAGCCCACCAGTAATGCCTTCTTTGCATCTTCAACAGCCATTCTCGCACAGGGAACGAACGAATGGGACAAAACAGTGTCTTGACTCGTATGAAAGTTTATGCCGTCGAGTGATGTATGAAAGTACAGCAACACAGCTCAAGGGTCAACCAGACCGACAACCCTCCCGACGACTCGATCCCATTCCGTGTCCCACCGCAGCCGCCCCTCCTCCACAGCCCCCCTCTTCAAGAAGGCGAGCTCGTCCCTGCCCTCGTCGCTGAGAAGCCGTCTCAGCACGGCCTCGAGGTCCTCGGCCGTCTCGAACCCACACCCGTTCTCCCCCTCCTTGATCAGCTCGCCAAAGCTCTCATAGTCAGAATACGCCGCGACAGGCAGGCCGGCGCCAAACATGTCGACGACCTTCATCGGCAGGTCGACGCCCGAGCTCGACATGTGCAGGCAGACGCCGAGATCGGCGACGGCCAGAAGCGCAGCGTAGTCCTCGATGGTGAGGAACGCCGTCTTGATCTGGATGCCGGTGAGGCGCCCGTCGCTCGTGAGCCGCAGAATCTTGTCCTCGTACGCGGCCTTTTGCGGGCCTTTGCCCGTGATGATGGCGAGCAGGGGCCGCGTCTCGGCGCGGTCACCGTCGGCGTAGGCGACGAGGGCCGAGAGGAGGAGGTTGAAGTCTTCGTCGGGGGTCCAGGAGGTGCTGCTGACGATGAGGCGAATGTCGCCGCGCAGGATGCCGTCGACCAGGGGCGCCGAGGTCGTGGCGTCGGTGACGGAGGCGGCGGCCAGGACCCGGGCGAGGGTCTTCCTGCGGGTGGCGGCGTCGAGGATGGGCTGGAAGATGTCGGCGGGACGGTCGTGCAGGGTGAAGATGGGCTTCTCGAAGCTGTAAGGAGGTTTGCGGAGCTGGCGGGCCATGGCGTCGGTGACGGTGAGGTTGGCCGTTGGCGTGATGCGGCCGAAGAATGACTCGTATTCCAGGTAGGTCTGCACGAAGCGGTTGGAGCGGCCACGGGTCGTGGCCAGGATGGACCAGCCGTAGTTGTGCCAGTCCACGAGAAGGTGGCTGCCTCGGAGGACGGAGATGATGAGGGCTAGGTGGAGGGTCGGGATGGAGGGCGGGTTCTGGATGATGATCCAGCGGCTCGCAGGAGCCTGGTAGGCCATGACATGGAAGGTGGCACACGCCTGCCAGATGACCTTGAGAGGGCCTAGGATGAAGAAGGGCAGCTTCTTGTTCTTCAACAAAGCCGGGAGTTCGGGCAAAGGATAGAGGGTCGCCCGGTCATGATCGACAAGTTGTGGGTGAAGAGGTGACTCGTTGTAGCCGACTAGATCAACTCGCCCTCCATTTTTGACGACACTGATGGCATGATATTGCATCCGCGGACTCCTTCCCACGTCACCGAGGACGAGGACCTGGATGTGGTCGTCCCTGGCATCGGCTGAAGGGACGTAGCGCGTGGGTATGAAGCCAACAAGGTGAGGCGCGTAGAAAAAAATGCCCAGAGTCATGAATATTGTGACCAGGGCGGTGGAGGTGATGAGGTTGACGAGAGCCATGTTGCGTGTATAAGCGGGCAGCGCAGGTCGTCTTGGTGAGAAGAGAAATATGTCAGTTTGAGCGGCCCATGCAAGGTGTCATCTCAGGATGCCTTGTGGGGATGGGCGTGATGCCTGTGGTCAAAAGAGTGGTGTCGTTCGCCAGTAATAATGCAGGCAGAGAAAAAAGAGCACATGGGTATATTGTAGAAGGTGGTTTCACGGCAGCGACGTGGCCCTCGTGACCTTCCTGAGAAAGACCCAAAGACCCTATTCACATGCACATGCAGTATCATGTAGATCATGACTTCTCGGTGAGGTTCGGTGGGAAGGGACTGAAGCGGCGATAAGAAAGTCGTTATCTTTGAGTCGGAGCATCATCGGATGAGGACACTAGTCACTGCAAGAGGCAAGAGACACAGAGAGAGACACAGAGAGAGAGAGTTGCCGTTTTCGACGCGTCTACCCACATTACCTCATCAAGGCGCTGGACTAACCTCAACACGACGCCTCCAGCTCAATGGGCTTCAGGGGCAATAAACTCTGCGCCCGTCATTAGGATGCGTCGCATGGTCGCACGGTCGCATGGTCGCATGGTCGGCAGTCGACGGCCAGAGGTCGACGGCCGGTGCCTCGTCCTGAATCCGTCAATTGATCCGATGAAAAAGCTACGAAACCAATCTATCTGGAGAGCGTGAGCGCAAGACGTGATCAAAAGCAAGTCGGTGAGGTTGTTTATTATTATGCTGGTGCAGTTTGCCCCGCGATGGCCAATCGAGCTGCCCAGATCAGCAAAGCGTCACGGTCACGACCTTGGTCTATCAGTGAGTGCCCAAGCTTGCCAAGATGGCTGCTGTTAGTGCAACAAGGGCAAAGAGCGCAGGTATAGCCGCTGCGCTCAACAGAGATTATCGCGGGGAGCGGCCCTGCCGCCAGCGTCTCCATAGTGCCACGATGCACCTCTCTGGCCACATCCACAGGGGAGGGGGAGAGGGGCCTACAGGGGGTCTACAGGGGGCTCACAGGGCCAATGGCTGCCGTCTCGGCCGTGAACGTGTCGAGGCACCCAAGGCACCTCCCCACAATGGGAAGAGAACCTGCAGGGGTGCGGCTGGGATGCGGCATCTGAAAGGGGGAGGTAGTCGTCCGCCCAGTCGCCGCCAGGCCACATTCGCGCTACTGTGCTTGTGTACATGGTACAGTACATGTACCTCCTGGCCTCTTGGCCTCCTGGTCGCCTCTGCACGGGGCCTGACAAGCTGGGGCACCTTGCAAACGACGGGGGCGCGCCTCGCTCTTCATAAACATTTGTTCCCGCCTGGGTCCGTCCTCCAGGCACGGCCTTCACAGTGACGACGCTGCCCCGTCTGGAATCCAACTGACGACGATTGTCCCTCCTCCTCCTCGCCGTCATCCTCCACGGGCTCCGCCAGTACAGCCCTCCCACCACCAGATCCGGGAACCCCTCTCGCACCGGAAGGAAAAACGAAAGGGAAAAACAAGGTCGCCTGTCGCATCCACTGCCTGTAGCCTCGTCATCGTCGAACCCCTGAACGCCTTGTGTCGCCTGTGCGAGACAGTCGGAGGGGGCAAGCCGCCCTCTAGATCAGAGCAGAAGAGGGGGGAGAAAACACCCAAGACACCCCAACCCCGGCCCAGAACCGTGGCGACGCAGTGTCACGAACTGTTCTCGCCAAACCACGGAGCACACGCCTCTGTTGGAGCCTTGTTCTCCATCAATTGGGGGTAAACATTGCAAGACACAGGGTCGGTGGTTGGTGGATACGAAAAAGACACGAGGAGAGAGAGAGAGAGAGAGAGAGAGAGAGAGAGAGAGAGAGAGAGAGAGAGTTCATTTCTGACGTTGCACCACCCAGCATTTTGCCTTTTGCATTGCCACGACTCGAGCCCTGTCGGAACCCGTCTCGAGCTTCGACCAGTCCTCTGGTCCCCGAACTGATCCACGACCACGACCGACCTGTTCAAACGAAAACAAGTCTTTGCTAGCCTCTTCCGGAACCATCGCAGCATCACTACAAGCATCCATCTCCCACCCGATACGATATGGCATCTTCGTATGCTCTACCCTCGTCCGCGCTGCCACACGCGCACCGCCAACACATGCATTCCCACTCGCACTCCCCACCCTCTCTCCAGACCCTCAAATTCACCATGACCGGGCAATGGGCTGCACGCCCCACAGCCAGAGCCTGGGTGTTGGGCACGCGCACGATCACCAGCACCAACACAACCACAATCACGACTACGACCATGACCACGCATCCTACACCCATCTGACCCACGATCGATCCGGTTCCCACGACAGACTTGAATCCTATCCTCAATCCCGCCCCGAACTACACTCCCACACCCACTCGAGCACTTGCTTGCACCCCCACGACCATGGGCCGAACCACAACCACACCTTGGCGCGTGTCATTGGCGGCCACACGTCCCACCGACCAAACTCGACGAGCTCGATCCACCTGCGCGAGAAGTTGCCGCCGACACCGCTATCGCAGGTAGAAGGCTGGCAGACCGAGAGAACGCCTGGCGGCCGGGAGATTATAACCCCCAAGGTTGACTCCTTTGGGGAGAAGACGGCCGGATACCATGACCACGATCACGATCATGATCACGACCATGGTCATGTTTATGGACACGACCATAATCACAGCCACGGACATTCCCACGATCATGCACATGGCCTTGGGCACGGCCACAGCCATGGCCATGGCCACGGTCATTCGAACCCATCTTTCTTCTCCAAGCTCTTGTTGCGCGTCACACCGAGGTTCCCCTTCCTCCACTCGATTCTGGTCGAGAAGGACTCGCGGCGCATCTTCTACTTTTTGTCGTACGTCCAGCCCACTGCTGCCACCCGCCGCCGTCCTGTAATATGCACTGACCCCATCGATCCACAGCCTCAACTTCTCCTTCATGGGCGTCCAGGCCTTTTAC